CCCAGCTCCATAAACTGATGAACAGGTGTGGGCTGGATACAAATCTGGAGGGTCTCAATCAGCATTAGGTTTAAAACTGGCCAGAGGACCCAGTCTAGACCTGGAAGTTCTCAGGCTCAGGACTTGAGCTGCACAGAACAGAGTACAGAGGCTGTGCTCTTTTCCCTGGTGCTGCTAAAGTGACAGAAAAGCCACAATTGACAGTAGCCATGTTATTCCCATGAGGGGACAGACTGCAGTGACCACAGTCAATTAAGTGAAGTAGGGCTCAGAGGAGGTGCCCAGAACAAGCAGCAGCACCCAGAATGCTCAGTTACATAGTGCGACACATCTGGCTTGACCTTTTTTAGGCCACTTTAAATTGGGCACTAGCTGTTTTGCTGCTTAGATTCAATTCACCAAAACAATAAAAACAGAAACAAGTATCGTATTAAAAAAATTCAGGGGCTCTACCATCTCCAAGGAGCCTGGGTTTAGGGAGAGGGTGATAAAAGAGGAGATAGAAAGTGCCAGTTTAGGTACATGCCTCTCCCATGTGAGCAAGGAGCTTCTAGTGCTGCCATTAAAAGCCTCTTCAGACCAAGCCCAGGAAGAGGCAGCTGTAGGTCTGCATTGTCAGCTGTGCCTCCTGACCAAAGCTCTGGCCTTACCCCATCAGCTGCCAGTTGGGCATGCTGTTCAGCTGCCCACCAAAAGGCAACTCAACTCTGAAAAGTAAACTAAAAAATATCTACAGCAAGAAGATTGAGGGTCATGGCCTAAGTGGTAGTGCTTGAAGCATGAAGACAAAACAAAAAACAACAAACAAAACCACTAAGAAAAAAAAGTCTAAGGAACTTTCAACAGGATGACCACACGACTACATGGCAAGCAGCAGCAGCTGTGGACAGCCCAACCACACACGCACTTCCCAGCTTGTCACTAGCCGCTTACCCAGTTCCTGCCAATTCACACGTCTTACATCATATCAGCGGGGTATCATTTTATTTATGGTAAAGAAAGTGAAACGCTACACTCCACATTCTCAAATTACCATCAAAAGTGAGAGGCCAGTACAACAAGCACCTTGGAAAACAGTCAACCAAGCCTGCCATCTGTATCATCTTTGACACAGCAACTCTACTTCTGGGTGAATGCCCCAGGGAAAAAAAATATGCATACGGCTCAAAAGATGTGTGAAATAGCCAGGTGCCAGTGCCATGTCCATAATCCTAGCTACTCAGGAGGCTGAGATAAAGAGGATTGAGGTTCAAAACCAGCCTAAGCAGGAAGGAAAGTCTGTCAGACTCTTATCTACAATTAATCACAGATAAAGCTGGAAGTAGAGCTGTGGCTCAAGTGGTAGAGCTCTAAGCTTAAGCAAAAGGAGCTCAAGGCCCAGAGTTCAAGCCCTAGGACCAGAAAAAAAAAAAAATCTGTGAAATGCTCACAGCAGGGGTTGGAGGCTTGGCTCAAGTGGTAGAGTGTCAACCAGTGAGCAAAAGTGTCAGATCAAGAGTTTGGATCCCAGTCTTGATTAAATTAAAAGAAACTCTCACAGCAAAAGTACTCCCAGTAGCTGCAAACTGTCCACCTACAACCTGGCTATCAGTAACATCCATCAATAGCAGTATGAATAAATACAATGCAATGTATTTCCTGGAGATGAATCTCATAATGCTATGCACAGAAATTCACAGACAAACAGACACTGGTGGCTCATGCCGTAATCCTAACTACTCAGGAGGTGAAGATCTGAGGATCATGTTCCAGCCTGAGCCAGCAGACAAATCTGAGACTCTTATCTCCAATTAATCAGCAAAAAGTAGTAGTGTGGCTCTAGTGATAGAGCACCACAGTTAAGAGTATGAGGCCCTGGCCGGGCGTTGGTGGTTCACCCCTGTAATCCTAGCTACTCAGGAGGCTGAGATCTGAGGATCATGGTTCAAAACCAGCCCGGGCAGGAAAGACTGTGAGACTCTTGTTTCCAATAAACCACCAGAAAATCGGAAATGGCACTGTAGCTCAAGTGGTAGAGCATTCGCCTTGAGCTGAAAAGCTGAGGGACAGTGCTCAGGCCCAGAGTTCAAGCCCCATGACCGACAAAAAAAAAAAAAGAGTATGAGGCCCTGTATTCAAGCACAAGTTTAAAAACAAAACAGAAAACACGATGAATCTGGAAAAGTTGCCCCACAAACCACTAGATGATGAGCTAGGACAGAAAGGATAGGACATGTAACACTTGCCCTACTTCACTCATTTGTGTCACCTGTCTGACCCTTGTGATGTTTATCAATAAACATTAAATCACTGCTCAGATGAAAGGTACTCGGTAGGTTTGTTAATAGTGCCTTCAAAACCAAGCTACTTTCCCAATGCTCAGCTATCAAGAGGAGTGGGAAATGACCACTACTTTCCCAATGCTCAGCTACCAAGAGAAGTGGAAAATGACCACTAGGGAAAGTTGCTGGGAAAACTGTAGATAATGCCTCTGAGCCGTTAAGATTGTACCAAGGCAACAGCAAGTGAGCAAATAGTGAATTATTATTGCTTTGTTTACAGCAGTATGACTGATGAAGGATAAACATTTTTAAAAGTGGAGATGCCAGAAGATGGGTTGCTGCTCCTGGTAGACCCTTGCCGTCACTGATGTGGTGGCTCTCAAGGACCCACAGGAGAGGAGGTGGGCTTTCCCTAACCACAAATGAAAACAGATTCTATGTCTCCTAGCTCCTCCCACAGGCAGGACCCTTCTTTTTTTTTGGGGGGGGGGCATATGACTTACTCCACTATGTTCCCTCAGGGCCTTGCAAATCAGGATTTAAGGCCCAGAGGAAGGTACACAATAGAGAACTTATCTCAGACTACCCTGACTAAATCATTCATCAGGCTTGGAATCCCCCTCCCCTGGCAACTGTCTCAGCAGTTCTGTATTTCGGCAAGACCTCAAGTAAGGCCAACTCAAGATTCACCTGGTGAAATTAAGAGTTCAAAACACATGAGTCTACCTAGGCAAGGTGGCTCATAACTGTAATTACAACTATTCAGGAGATGGAGATCAGGAAGATTGTACTTCTAGCTAGCTATTTGGGAGGCTGGGATCAAGATGAAAGTTTTAGTCCTGGTTAAGAACAACAACATCACCAACAACAATTCAACATACTCCATTTCAAGGGAGCAACTGGACATGGTGGTATACACCTGTTGTACCAGCTAAAATGGAAAGCATAAAATAAGCAGGTCACATTCCAAGTGTCACTAAAAGAAAAAAAATAAAGCAAAACCCTATCTCAAAATGATCAGAGCAAGGTTCAACAGAACACCTGCTTAGCAAGCAAAAAGCCCTGAATTCAAACCCCAGTACTACTAAAAAGAAAAAAAAGAATTCTAATCCCCTCATCAGGGTATTCCTGAGCAAATCACAGAAAATATCTTCTTTGTAAGGAGACAATAAAACCTAGGTAATCTTGAGCAAATCACAGACAATACCTTCTTTGTAAGGAGCTAATAAAACCTAATTCACTGGATTGTTATACTAGAATCAAGTCACAATACAAGGCCAGAAACTCAGAAAGTTGGTTTAGGCTGGCCACCTATGATTCAACTTTGGTAATACTACTCAGAAGCTGAGATCTGGAGGATCATAGTTCAAAGCCAGCTCAAAAGAAAAATCCCCAAATCTCTATCTCCAGAATAACCAGCAAAATGCCAGGTTGGAAGCTGGGTGTTGGTAGCTCATGTCTGTAATACTTGCTAGTCAGGAGGCTGAGATCTAAGAACAGTGATTCCATGCTAAGTCTATGAGACTCATCTCAAACCTCAAAAAAAAAAAAAAAAATCCAGATGTGAAGCTATGGCAGCCTTGAGTGAAAAAAATTAATGGACAGTGCTCTGCATTCAGGCCCCAATACTGGTGGGTGGGCACTCACATGCACACATACACATGCACACACACACAGCATACAGCCCAGAAACTGTGTGGTCCTGAGTTCAAATTCCAGTACCACATTAAAAAATAAAATAGCCAGGCACCTGTGGCTCATGCCTATAATCCTAGCTACTCCGGAGGCTGAGCTCTGAGGATGGAGTGTCAAAGCCAGCCAGAGCAGAAAAGTCGCTGCAAGACTTTTATCTCCAGTAAACTACTCAAAAAAGCTGGAAGTGGCACTGTGGCTCAAGTGGTAGAGTACTATTCTTGAGCACAAAGAGGCTCAGGACAGTACCCAGGCCCTGAGTTCAAGCCACACAACCCTACAAATTGCATACAATTAGCCATTATTCCCTGAGACAAATTTCTCTAACTTTCTCTCAAAGATTTATTCCCAATTGGAAAGTTCTGGACATTTTCTTTGAGCTTATGCAAAATCATGAAAGGCTACTGTCATGTCCCAATTCTTTATCTGGGAGCCATGGATTGGAATAAGGTGATCTTAACTCCCCCAACTTGGGGACAGGGCCTCTAGCTTCCATCCAAGCCCCAAAAGATGAAAACCTCTATCATAAGGATAGTTACCCAACGGATTCTTCCTCTTTTTTTTTCCTATTTTAATTTTTTTAACACATACAGAGTTAGGAAAATTAAACACAAATCTACACAGAAAAGTGAAATTTAATTCCTTCCTCTTCGTTTCCTGGGGCGTCCTTTCCGAAGTCCATTTTTGTCTGGAGCAGGATTTCTCCATCTCCTTATTGACGGTCTGTTCTGTGCGGCATTGTAGAATCTTCGCGAACATCCCTCTACTCACTGAATGCCTGGTTACTCACAAGCCTGCGTGGCAACACCCCCAAAATGCGCGCAGACTTGGCTAAACCTGGGAGGGGGGGAGGTGTCAAAGAACCTCAGGTTGAGAAAGTGCTTCCAGGGGTATTCACACGTGCGTGCACGCACGCGCGCGCGCACACACACACACACAACCCACAGAGAAAGTTAACTTTCCCACTCATGGGCGGGTTCGCCCCAAAGGCGGAGGGGAGGATGGGGGGAGAGGGCCACGCCTCTGCAGGCGGCGGCGGCCACTCACCAGGTCCCGGATGAGCTGGTCCACCAGCTGCTCCCCGCCCGCCGGGGCTTCGCGAACCGGAGGGGAGCGGGAACGGCTGGCCGCGTCCTGCCGGTCCCCCCGGCTGGTTCTCGTCGCCGGGGGCCGCCCTGCGCCCTCCAGGAGGCCCTGGGCCAGGGCCAGATACCCTGAGGCCTGCTCGCCGCGCCCGGGGTCCACCTCAGGCCGCCGCGGACGCCGCTCGGCAGCTTCGGGCCGCCGCCGCCTCCTCAGCGCCTGGGCCTGCGCCAGCTCCTCCTGCCAGCGCCGACGGAACTCTTCCAGACTGTGGTCGTCCATCGTCGTCGCTCCCGGGCCTGCGTGTCCTCCTCAACCCCGCCAGGTGCCACGGGACGGTCCCTCCGCAGGAAGTGTCCGCCGCGGCCGGAAGCCGCCTCAACCGCGGCTTCTAGGTTCCGGAAGGGAGGCCACGCCCACTGCCACGCCCAGTCATGCTGCCCCCCCTCGCCCCTTCGCAGCCCGTCCTGGGCCACGCCCCCTCACGCTGCCCGGTGGCAGCTTCTCCCGGGCCACGCCCCCTCCCCCTGCCAGGTCGCAGCTTCTCCCGGGCCACGCCCCCTCGCGCTGCGGGGTCGCAGCCCCTCCCTGGCCACGCCCCCTCGCGCTGCCCTCTCCTTCTTCTCCAGCCTCTCAAACCTTAGTATTATTATTTTTTAGTTTTTTTAATTCCTGTTTATTGCTGTAAGATGGCCTGTTACATTTACCATAGTTTGTCCATGTATTGATGAACGCTGAGGTTGAGTAAATTTTCTTCATTCAACAAACTTGCATCTATCGACTACTATAATCTAAGCATTGAGTGTTTAGCATTTAAGACTGCAAAAAAATAAATTTTACATGTAAGTGAGAGGGGAGACGGTAAGCAAATGAATACAAAAGTTTAAATCTGTGGGAGGTAAAAAGTGATTGTGGCAGCCGGGAGTGGGATTGATTTAATCAAAGAGACATAGAAGGCCTCCCTAAGGAGCTGTATATAAACCATGAACTCAGGTAGCTATGGAAGATCAGGAGAGATTTCCAGAAGGAACTACAAGTCTAGGGACAGTAAGGTAAAAAAGAATGTACCTGTAATCCTAGCTGTTTAGGAGCCTGAGTTCTGAAAATCACTGTTCAAAGCTAGGATGGAGAGGCAAGTCCCAGAGACTTTTATCTCCAACTAGTCACCAAAAAGCCAGAAGTAGAGCTGTGGCACAAGTGGTAGAGTGCCAGCCTTGAGTAAAAAAGGTAAGGCACCCCAGGACCTGAGTTCAAGCCCCAGTCCTGGGAAAAAAAATGAGTTGAGAAGGAAATATTAATTGCCCACACTGCTTTACTCATTACACATTGTATGTATGTATTGAATTTTCACTCTGTACCATAATTGTGTCATTACCATGTGGCATTTTTAAAAAATGAAAGAAATGAGAGAATAATGCCCCTGGGCACCAATGGCCCATGCCTGTAATCATAGCTACTCAAGAGCTTTGTTCCAGCCGGGCACTGGTGGCTCA